GCGACCGCGCTTCCGCTCGCCGCCACACCGGAAGGGGCCGGCGGCGGCGGCGGAGGTCTCGCCGGGCGTGCCGACGCCCAAGGCAAATGAACGGGTTGGTGAGGGAAGGAGCGACTCGTTCATTAGCAACGGGAGCGATGCTTCCAGATCGCCAAGACAATGACACCTGGATTACAGTGATGGCAAAGGATGCGGCACGCCCGGCGGTGCTTTGCATACAGTGACTTCGCACGGAAGGATTCGTGATCATTCATGCACACTTCAAGAGATAAAAAAGCAATGTGAGACAGTTGCGCACCCAGGATTATATGGAGGAGGAGGGGGGGGGGGGGCTACAGGTAGTGTCCAAGCGACAGAATTTATTTATTTATGATGAATGTAAAATGTATTTTCATTTCTTGACATATAGATAATAATTTACAACGAAAACAATTTATATACTGAATGACTTTCATTAGTATAAAAAATCAAAAAAGCTGTATTTTTCAATACATAGCATTGACTTCAAGGCTGCGGAGGCCAGAAACCCCATGAGGCCCCCGCCTCACCCCCATCCCGTTGCGCCGCTGCCCCAAAAGAATCCCCTTCCACGAGCCCCCAGTCTGATTAACGTTGTGACTGCGCGATAACTGTGGTGTGAGCTGCGCAAACCGCATACCATTATGCGAACCGTCATCATATCACACTGCGTTAATACACTGATTCGAAAAAGAGGCTTTTTGAGCGTACAGCTTACGATAATTGCCTTTACCCTTCCACTGGAAATGATATAGCTCGAACTCTTGTTATTTGGCAGGTTCTGTAGGATTCGATGCATTATCCAGTACCCAGTTCTTTCCACGTTGTGAAGACTGTAGTACTAATAACCGTGATGAAGAAAAGCAATGATTGATGATAATATTATTATCGAATCGTTAATATTCTTCTGGACTATTACAAACTGGCAATTAAGGCTTGTATTCTAAATAATCCGTCTACGAATGGTTTCTCACATATCTTGCGAAAATGAAATAGGAGGCACACAGTGGCCTGCTGATAGTGTTCATGTAGGGCCTACGAGGATAAACGAACTACTTACGAATAAACGAACCGGATTTTTTATCATCTGACGCCTGCAATTGCTACGTCTTAGACACGTGTGCACGGCACGTTGCCTCCTAGGGCGGCGCCCTCGCACCAAGTTAATCCCTATTCTGAAAATTGGCCATTTGATGCTGTTAAGGGTGTAATATATTAACGCGACGTATTGTATTTAGTACCGCATTTGCTCTCCATCACAATTTAACAACTTTCGCTTCATAGGAATACAGATGCATTACAGAAAAGTATAGCAATCGGTGAAACGGCATCAGTTGCTTTTTATGCACGGGAGAAGAAATCGTTCAGGGCTGTGAATGTTGAGACGGGATTATTTTCCTACATTAACGCTCAGGGACTTAGAAGATATTGAAAAAATATTGGGAAAATTCGGGGTGGAGCATCCCTAAAACGAGCGGCAAAACTCTAGCTCCAACTGTTAGTACAATAATAAAAACGCCTCTGCGCGGCCAAGCTTCCTTCACCGGCCACGCCAGACGGATGAGGCAAAACGATGCCAGAAGGATTTCATGGGCCACTTCACATTTCCCCTCCTTTTATTTGGTGTAATCACTCACTTTTACACACCATTCACTTGTTCAAACTATTCGTCACTTCGTGCAATGACGCCTAAGCTTTATCGTCTTATGCCTCACGGGTCTCCGAGGAAGTGGAGCCGTTACTAATTTCACGAGAAAGTATATGGTGTTATGGCACCACAAGTTTTTCTCTTAAGAGGCGAAAGAGATACATTCGCCCCTTATTCAAGGTGTGGAATTTCAACTGCTGATTTATTCAATTATTCCGACTCTACAATCACTTTCTATCAACCTTTTCGCTAATTCATCTCCACCGTCTGTGACAATGCCGCCTTCGCAAGAGGTGCTGGTTCTCTGTCTTTAAGAAAGCAATGACAGGAAGGGCCGACGCCAAAAAAAACAGGAATTTTGCCAATTACCAGAACGAGACGACTACATTTTCGACTTTTTTGACTAGTTAAATTAATTGTAAGTTAGTTCAAAAATAAATTAAAAGAAAAGATTTATATGCAGTATCATATATGATTTATATGCAATATGCATTTTTTTATATGCAATATGCATAAGCGATCGGCACAAAATGCCTGTTTTGGGCTATGGTGTCTCCATTGCAGGACCATTGACATTAAGTACATATTCGGGTCAAAATTATTTTACTGATTGATACCGTACCGTAATTGATTTTAATCGATGCACTTCTGTGGGTTATTAGTGCATTAGTTTTTATCGCCAATCTTTCCGCAGCTCATCATAGATGAGTAGTTCAGAGCTCAGTTCCATTAAGAAATTTCAGCTAATACGTTTAATAGATCGTACTAGTGGAAATAAAATTTGCACATACCTCAACGTTCAACAATGAAGTACAATTGAAGAAATGTATTTTAACAGATATATTAACCTAGGTAAATGCCTCAACACCAAATGCCTCTGTTTTCTTCTGAAAGTGGTATAACTGTCTATGCGACAGCTAGCATTCTAGCAGTGTGTCGCTGAGGTAGTTCCCGCTTTATTTCTGGACAGTAAATTAAGCTTTTCTCCCCACTCCCAATATATACAGTTCTTCAAATAAATAAACCAATAAATAAATAAAAAGCAAATGAAAAAGAAGCTTTATGGAAATATCAATTCACTACATTAATGTAAGATTTGTTTATAAGCAATTTTGGTTTATAAATACTATATTATAGAATCACTATCGCTTTGCCTTTTAAAAAGAAAAATAATTGCAATTAAAAACTCTCATGAAAGGATTATCAAAGAAACTATATTATTAGTGTATACTGATCTGTTACACTGGTGATAGGTGAATACAAATATTTAATTAAATATTTATTAAGCTCATAATCATAACTTGGTATACATGTAGAAAACTGAATTCAAATACTTGCTTTGTGATACAAATAATATCCGAAAAGGGGTGGTAAAATATTAAGTTTAAACGCATCTCAACAAAAAGAATTCAATACGTATTGAAAAGTGCACGGTAACTTGTTGGGCAACCAGGTTCCATTGGACGATGCTTTCACCCCAGATTTACATTTCTTCTTGCACAAATAATAATCTGGTTTCAATAAAGCTCCCAGCAAATTGCTACCTAATCCTTCCCTTTCTAACACACATACGGAACGCACAAACATTCACGCAGTACTATTCAAATACATAATCAAATTGAATAACACAACACCATTTACGCAAAGACCTAAGAATAGTCAGATTTAAAAACTGCCAAATATAAAAGATATCATGAAAACAGACACGAATGTTAATTAAATGAAATTGTTCAATTATTATGTGACGCGATACATTCCCCTGAAAGCAATTAAATCCAAATAGAAAAAAATCTAATTACAGAACAGTTTTGAACTTAGAATGATGAATGGAAACGTAATAGTTTGCATTTGATAATTACCGTCTCTACGCTCAAACTTAAGATATTGCCTCTATTTTTATCATTAAATAGTTCGGCATAGACACGCAGATAAAACCACACGCTCGGTCTACTTTTCTTAACGAAAATCAAAGTTGCTGCGAAGGTGAACAGTAATAAGGCCATTCTACTTCTCATCGAATTATTTTACTCATGATTTTTGAGTCTTCAGGAAATATGATCCGTATTAGCAACAGAAGTAATCACGACGCAGTCACTTAAAAACAGTTGTTAAACCATTAAAAACTCATACTAGCATATATCCATCACATATCCGAGTTCAGGCTTCCTCCTGTTTCATATTCCCATGGATATTACCTGCCCGAGTTTCCTTACGACGTTGGTAATGGCTCGTGAAGTCAAAATTAATTCCCTGTTGCCATGTCACCATCTACTGGCATATTATTATCTAGCAGCCACCTGCTTCCTGGATCATGCTTGTAAATGACCAAAGACGTTAGAATCGCAATAGAAGATCAACGAGATTGAGCTTAACGCGCAACAAAGTAAATACGAACACCGCAAGCGGAGCTCTGCATGTGCATGTCATCTTGGGAGACTTCATCAAACATGTAAAATCAACACAAAAACCTTGGCGCGATTTGTGCAGGCAGTTCATTCAAGTTCATTAATTAAAAAAATCCTAGTTTTTTTTTTTCATTCAGTATTTCTCTGCAGTACTCTCTCAATCAACCATTATTCAAGTGGCCACCCCGACTTTGAAACGATGATGACTCACGCAATGTTTCGTAACGTTTCTAGCAGCAATGAAACAAAAGAAAGCCCATAATTAATTTCAGAGCATTTTTTAAACAGATACAATAGTGTCGGGGTGAATGTGAAACTTAATGGCTAGTTTAATGTCTAACATGGGTACATAAAAGTATTGCAAGTGTATACTGTGAATACAGTAGTCTACAGTAACATGAGGTTTCTTATTTTATTCTTCTTTAACGCAAAGGAAACTTTTCCAGTGTTCCGTAAACTATATACTTAAATAAATACATATAGATAAATGTAAGGTACTTTTACGATATGTAGGGGTTAAAGAGAATCCCTTTCCACCAATGAACACGTGTTGGGAAATATCGTACAAAACCGTTACTCATGTCACACTTGCCCCTCATGAGAAGACAACTCATCCTCTAC